ACATGCCACCAGAATTACATGCAGCAGCTACCCACATGATCTTCTAAAGCATTCTCTTCTTTGTGGTGAAAAAATTACTTCTCCTGATTTTGGAAGTAATCACCAACTTTCAGCTCATATTTAAAAATATTTTTTAAAAAAGGAAAAGGAGGGAAATAATCAGCTGTAATAACAGATGATAAAAGCACCTCTGAGTCAGAACACAAATACTTCTCATTAAAAGAGAATCAGGAAAAAAAATCTCAAGTCTTTAACTTCATTTAAGAATCAACAAAAGAAACATTCACAGATCTTTAACCAGTAGTTTACAACACAGAAATTTTACTTTCTTTTTCTCTAAAGAGTTCTTTAGTTACATCCCCCAACCACATATGACTGAAGATGTTTCAAAAAAATGAGCCTGCAGCTCCACAATGATGTTCTTCGGCTGAACCCCTTTCCACAGACAAGACAGTTTTCTAGCCCATAATATTAACCTTATATTCTAGAGCTGTCGTAAGTGTCAGTCAATGAATTCTTTATATTATTTTCCTTCCCTAGGAGTCCCTTCCCTCCAACTCACTCCCTTGCCATTCATACCTAAGAGGCTCGACTACGGAGTTTACAAAGCCACATGTTACCATGGAAAGGCTGTAACTCCTTCAAGGAAGGCCTATATGCGCAAGCAGGGTCCATGCAAAAAAAACAAACCACCCTCAAACTAGAGAGAGGCAGCGTTCCTGCAGGAGTACTTGTACAACACATCCAAAAAAAAACCCCAAAAACAAATAACCGCTTCAAGCGCTCCTATAATGCAGATGCAGCCACAGCAGTGGAGCTGAGCTCTACAGCACTACAGCCAAGGCAGTCTGTCTTTCCCTAAGCAAGAGGCATACCAGCAGAGGCACAAGGGTTTTTTTCTTCTCCTAGAATAGCTGCATTAAGGACTCTCACCAGGTCAGCTGTGCTATTGAAGGATCACACCTCTTTCTAACCTTGACAGCCACAGCTGTGACAATACCGTACTGTGTACTAATTCAGGACTAACCTCAGAAACCAAACAGACACCACCTAAAACTGTTTGTTTGCTCCTGGAATCTTAATGAAACTCAGTCAATTTCTAATTTTCCTTCCAGATTGTTGTATTTACTCACAAAGTGCTTCCTTGCTTAGACTGTAATTTTTACTAAAAATACGTGGTTTGAAATAAATTTAAAACACGCATGGTAGAAGAGCTGTTTCATGCAGCTGGGAAAGTTTGCTTTAGGATCCTGCATTCTCTACTTTTTTTTTAAATAAACAAACTAAAAAAGAAAATCCTTCATGTCCAATTGAAGCATATCAAAAAGCTATAAATACATCAATAAATTAGATGTGAATGGAATTTTGAAGCCAACTTCTTGGGAGAAAAATCTTTCAAAATTAAGTGAGGCTAATTATTACGCTACAATGATACCACTCAACTTCAAAATAGGTTAGCAGACAACTTTACTGCCTGATTACCAAGAATATTGTTTGTGTGTATCACTAATATGCTATCTTCTTTTTACTTTGGATTTTTGTTACAACACACAAGATTAAATTGGGGGGCATGAAGAACCACATGAAGATTTTTAGCAAAGCTTGGACACAAGGTTTTTTAAATCCTCCTGCTTGAAATGAGTTACCACGATAAAACTGTCAGAATGTTTATTCAGGGCTGCACTAGAGAATTTAAAATGTAAAATTCAGAAGCAAACAGTTCTATTTAACTACTACTCAACTGAAATTCATGCGTCTCTCAGAAATCAAATCTTGTATTCCCTGTTTATAATGCTTTAGGTTACAAGTAATGCTCTTAAAATTATGTAACAAATCTTACTTTGCCCAGTAACTGCACTTTTCTATGGTACAACAGTAAACATTTTCAGAGTTTCCATTACTCATACTGCAAAGAACATAAGTTAACATTTATATGGTCACTAAACATGCACTTATATAAACTCAATGTTGTCATCAATGTGACATATTCAGCCATATTATATGGAACCAATTCCGTTCTCTGCCCAATATAACTTACTCTATTTGAACTGACTTTAACAGTTGCACCTTTCTGCTTCACAAGGAATATCTTGTCAGCAAGACTTGGCCTTAATGACACACAGCTATGTACCCAAATTACACAAGAACTTTCGTACAGCAAGGCACAGCCTACCCAGCTACTCCACAAGTCCCTCACCAAAGGCCTCTGTCAAAACAACTCACATCTTTCATATCACCAGTTTCCACCCCTATTTTTGCGCAGACTTTCAAAGGAGGCTCACATAAGGGGGGGCGGGAGGGGGGAATAAAACAAAGCAAATGTATTTGCAGCAGTAAGTATAGCATTTGCTTGGAATGCATATGAGGGCTCCAGAAGAAGCAGTCAACACCTCAGTTGTATTTATGCATGTTTTCTTTCCTCACAGTGACCCTTACCAGCATTACTCAATGCCCCTCCCCTGCTTAGAAGACATTCTAAAAAGTTACTTTTTTTCTTTCACACACAACTACTCACTGAGGCCTATTCCACTGCTGAAAGCAAGCAAAGCCAAGCCCATGCTGGGTGTCTGTCTCCTAGAGAAGATTGCATCTTTTATTTATTGCCCCTTGGCTTTATTTTCACAGCGAATTCCTGGCTTAAATGCAATCAGCCAAGAAACCCTTCCTATGTGAACTCCTGTCACTCCTCATTGCTTGCAAACAAGTGCAAGCGAAAAAAAAAAAAATCCCAGCACTGCCAACCAAACCAAAAAAGCCCTACTTCTGGTTTGGCTAGTCCTGAGAAACCACAGATTCACCTCAGACCTTTGGAGAGAGAAAGCCAAAAGATGAAAATTATAACAAAGTTAATTAGATTTAAAAAAAAAAAGTCCCCCTAGGCAGAAGGGAGGGGCACTGAACCTAGGAGCAGGGACACGTCTTCCCTTCGGCAAAAAAACTGAGGGCACGTTTGGAAAGTGCCCGCCAAGTCAAGCCCGCAGCGGGCAGGGCCGAGGTTTTTGGGGGAGGATGAAGGGAGGGATCTCGGCGCCTTACACATACACACACTGAACCGCCGCCGTCAACAAAAGGCGAGCAGCAACCTCTTTTGTCTCTCTTTCCGTTTTCAGAGGAGGAGGGGAAGCGACAGAAAACTGGGACGAAAACAAAAAAAGACGCAAATGAACAACATCAAAATGAGAACAAAGTAGCCAGGTCGCACAAAGAGCATCACCCATCGGCGGACGGGGCTATCTGCCGGGGGCGGGTCCCCTTCCATTTCCTGAATGGAAGGTCGGCCGCCCCCGGCAGACAATCCCCAAAAGTGGAGGGGGGGTACCCACCTCTGCAGCCCTTTAAACACTGGCAGGGAGGAGTTAACCAGGGGCGCCCGCAGCGGGTGAAGAGCAGCGGCAGGCGGCTGGGCTGGGGGGGAGGAAGAAGAACGGGACATTGTTCCAGAAGGAGGAAGACCTGCGCTTCCCCCCCGCTTTGTCACGAAGCGGCTCATCCCAAAGCCCCCACTCCAGCCCCACCACCCCTGGCGGCGTGGATCGCGTCCCCTCCCTTCGGCTCGCCGCCGATGCCCTAGAAATGCCTTTGTTTCAGGATCCCCCCCCCGCACTCTCGCTGCCGGAGTCTCGCTACGTTTTTATGTCTTTATTTTGGACGGCGACGCAATCCGCACCCCCCTCCTTCCCCCGCCGGCCGTCCTTCTGCTGATTCATTTCCACTGGAGTCCCCCCCCCGGGACGGGGGAGCAGCATCTCCTCGCTATTGTGGCTCGGGGTAAGGCGGTGACCCGGATTACCGGGGGTGGGCGCCGGGAGGGGGGCAGAGCCAAACGGGATTATAAGGGCCGGGAGCGGGCACGGTGAGGTGCCGGGCTGCGATTTAAAGGGGCCAGGCAGAGACCGACTCCGTGTCACGGAGCCAGGGAGTCACTGCGCGTCTCGGGCACGAGGGGGAGGAGACCGGCGGAGGAAGTTGCCGGGTCCGCGGTACAGCCAGGGAGCGAAGGGCTGCACAGGCCGGGCCGCAGAGCTGCGGGCGCAGGGAGGGACGGACGGACGGACGGACGGGCGGCGGGCGGGTGACGCGCAGAGGGAGACCTGCGGCCCCGGGGCCGGCCGCCGGTGCCCTCTCTGCCGGCCGGTGACTCACCGACTTGCAGGACGTTATCGACGCAGCCGCCGTCGAGCAGAGCGATGCCCCTGCGGAAGGGCAGCCGGTTCTCGTCGGCGGCAGCGGCGGCGGCGTCCCCGGCTCCGCCGGGCGCGGCGGCGCCCCCGGGGCCGGCGGCGGGATCCTCGGCGCCGGTGTTGAAGGAGGAGTACATGCAGATCTCCCTCTCGCTGCGGGGGAAGGACCAGTACACGATCCTGCGCTGCACTGGCTCCGGGATCCGTTCGAACCGCTCCTCCACCCGCTGGAAGGGCCACTTCTCCGCCACCTTGCGAGCCGCGATGTCCAGTAGGGACTCGGGGCTCTGGGTCTTGCCGAGCGGCAGCAGCCCCAGGGCGACGACGGCGGCTGCGGAAGAAGATCCAGCGCAGAGCGCGCCGCCGCCGGGCCCGGCGCCGCCAGCCCGATGCCCCGGCCTGCAGCCCGAGCCATAGCCGGGTCTGCAGCAGAGGCGCTTGGTAGGGTGGGGGAGCTGACCGCGCTCCGCCATGATCGCACCCCTTCTAAGCCAACAGCGGAAGTGGCTGTACCCTATAAACGGCTCCAGGAAGGGGGCGAGGGCCCGCGAGCAACCAGGGACACGCCCCCCTCTGCCCTAATATGGTGAAGGTGGCGTGGCCTCGGGGCCCGGGGGGTGGTGCTGTGGGCGTGGTCTTATGCAAATCAGCTCAGAAACGTAAATAGAACTGCCCCGGCAGGGGAGGGGGGAGGAGGCGCTGCGCCCACCCCCCTCATTCCCAGCCCCTTCTCCCGCTTACGTCACCGCGCGCAAGCCCGGGCGCGCCCTCGCGCGCATGGTGGGAAAAGGGGGGCGTGGCCGGCGGCGCCCCCTCTCCGCCGCCATATAGGGAATGGAATGCGGGGGCGGGGCCCGCAGCCGCTGCCTAAACCAGGTCACCTCTGCCGGGAAAGCCGGAAGGGTGGGGAGAGTCGCGACTTGCGGACGGGAAATACGATAACGGCTGGGGCGGAGTGGGGACGGCAAAGACCTGGACTCCTGCCTCAGGGGCGGGGCGGGATTGACGAAGCCCTTGTGTGGCGGGAGTCCCTGCGCGTCCCTGCAACAAACCCTTGACGTTCCTCGGTGAGGCGAACCCCAGGCTCTGTCGGGGGGTGATTTTTTTTTTTATTTTCTCTCGATTATAAGTAATACGGTAAGCGCCGTCGTCCCGGTGCCAGCTCCCGGTTGGCTCTGCGGATGTCCCCGTTTGGGAGCGCCCCGGGGTGAAGGGCCGGGCTATGCGGAACCACTGTGAATCAGTTGGATTGCGATGAAGGCACCGCGTCTGCCCAGGTGGGTCCTGAGGATGTGGCGACAGACCGGAGGGCCGGGGTATTTCTCTTAAAAAACCGCACCATTCGGGGCCCTGTGCCAAGCCTCAAATTAAGTGTCCTTCCTGAAAAACGTATGTATTTGTGTATAAATAGATATGTTGAGGGTCTCTCGGGATCCCGCTGGCGCCGCCGTTTCCCGCAGCACAGAGCGCCGCTCACGCCTCCGCCGCTCCTGGAACACCGCACGGAAGTGCCTCATGGCAAGGAACAGGAGTAGCAAGCAGCCCACACCGCCTTCCCTTGCGCAGAGGGGCTCTTTGGTGTTCGTGTCACTGCGGAGCAACCAGCGTTTTTGTTTCAGTTTTTTAAAAATAAATACTTTTAATATTTTGAAGTTTTGTCTTGGCAGTGGGATTTACCGAGAGAGGCTTTGATGCGTCATTGTAGAGCAATCAATGGGGTTTTTTTATTTTTCTTAACCAAAGTTAAACTCAAATATTTTCTATTAATTAAATATTTTGGAACTTTAGCTTTTAAGTGGCATTGTTTGGCTACTCGCGTTGAAAACAACACTTACACTCCCGGCGAGCAGCACTTGCTCGCATGCCGTGCCCTGGAGAAGCCATAGCTTGAGTGGCTGCCCTCCGGCAGGTTGGTTTTCCCAGACAGACTACATTTTCCGTGATGCAGCGCAAGCCGCCATCAGCGGGAAGAGGCTCCGTCAGAGAATGCGGCGGAAGAACTTAGAGCGTGCCAGCCATAACGCTTAAGAGGTGTAAACAACGTCGACTTAGCTCCAAACTTGTCATCTACTTTTGTTTCCACCAACCCCCCAGACTGGAACAATACCTTAACTTCTGGTCAAGAAATTGAAGAGCTTTGCAGTAACTGCATTTTCCATTAAAAATGGATGAGAAATTGAACCGTATTAGACTTGCTGACTTATATTTTAAAAGAAAGATCGGCAGAAACCTGAAGATAGTTTAGACTATGGAAGTATTGGCCTCTTTTTTTTTTTTTTTAATGCTTTTAAGCTCCTAGACAGTAGCAATTATTTGAAATGTCATCGGTAGAGAATTTTTTTTCATCTAGGTATAGAGTTGTGGGGTTTTTTAAATTTTCTGCTGCCACTTGCGCGTAATAAAAAAATGACTGATGTTTTTTAACCAAGGGCCAGAACTATGTTCTGCGTAGTTTATTTTTTATATATATATACTACAAGTTTAGAGGGTTTTTTAGATCATGAAAGCTGCCTTCTGGGTAAGGAAAGAGGTTAAAGTGATGCTTGTGCTTCTGGCTATGGACTTAACAAAACACTCTGGAGGTACCAGTTTGATAAATTCATAGATACCTTGCTGGAATATTAACTGTCTTCTTTCTGTGTTTTACAAGTGTTCTGCTGGATTTATAAACTTAACTCCAGTGAAATTTTGGAGATGTTTGGGAGCCTGTATGCTGCCGGCCAGAGATGAGGTCTAATGCGTCTACTATTAATATGGTATTGATCTCAGTATTTCTGAGAGCAGAGAAACGGAGTACAAAGGAGGTAAAAAAAAAAACTTAATGATTACATATGTATGAGAGGAGAGGAAAGTTATATTAGTTTTCGCCCCATACTTGATTAATGATTGTTGACCTCTCAAAGCAATTTTTCTTCTCTATTCTACCACTGTTTCTTTTTTAAACAAGCATCTAGGAAGTCAGTAAAAATACTTTGCTAAATTGGGCAGTGGCAGTTCTTTACCAGACCCGCTGCAATAAAAATAACAGTAATGTCCCTGGAGCAATTCTTCTCGGCATAGTAAAGAAGCTTTAGAGTAAAAACCAAGAAGTAAGAAGAGTGAGAGGAATGACAACAACAAAGCATCCATAATAAGCAGAATTAACCTGTGTCAGTTATCTCAACTTAGTCTTTCCTCTTTCTTTTCAGATATGGGCAGAAATCTTAAATTCACTAAAGAAATCCCAGAGAAAAACAGGTGGAAAAGCTTACAGATCCACCTCTTTCATCTGTCTACCACTCATCAGGAATAGCTACTTCCCATTAAGTCTTTAAATATTAATAGGTATACAGGATGCTGGTGAAGCTTTTTTGTTTCTGGGCTAAGGAGCACACCAAGAAGTAATGGCATCTTTGCTCTTGTCATTCTGCCATTTTTTGAGAACAGACCCTTGGAATGAATTATTTCTTCCTTATAAGGAGCCTTGTGTTGGAATATCTGTTGGGACAGTTTAACTCACTACTGAGTTATTAGGGATAAAAGCATCACTGCTACAAGAAAAATGATAATGTGCAAGTGACTTCTTAAAAATGTGTTGCACTGATTTAGAGGGTTCAGAGTTTTAAACTCTTGGAATAGAGGAATAAGGGTGTCTCACCTTTCTTTAGAGATTTAATTTACCATTTGCGAGAAGTCAAAAGGAGAAAATCTTGTCACTGGGAGGACTCTAGATTTAATATCTCTGGGAGTTCGTTGTGACCTTGTGTAGATCTGAGTTGCTAAATGCATCAACACTCAAAAACAGTGTGTTCCTCTCACAGGCTTTTGTAAATGTTATTTTTAAAGGATTATATTTTTCTAGTATTGAAATAAAAGCAAATTTGGTGAAAAATTCAGGTCTTAAAATGTCATCACTACCACCCAGCTTGTTATCCACAAATTTACTGAGAGTACACTCAATCTCCTCGTCTAGTTCCTCAATAAAGATATTAAATGGACCTGGCCCCAATGCTGAGCCCTGGGGAACCCCACTAGTGGCCAGCCACCCTCTGGATGTGGCACGATCACCACCACCAGCAATTTCTTCGTGTGTTTGCCAGTCTTCTGTGAACTTCTCAGGCTTTATGAATTATAACTGAGGACACACAGAAAGTATACAGGCAAAGAAAAGGCTGAGATAGCTAAACAACACTTTAACGGTTCCTCTTGAAACAACAGGCATTCTTTTAAAAAGCTTGGGAACAATATCTGCTTCCTCTGACTTGGTCCCCAGTGATTTCATTTAGCATGCTGGGAAAACTAAGCTGGACTTCAATTTTTTTTTTCTCAACGGTCAATGTAAAATTTGATACCTACTGGTACTTAAATGCTTAGCTTACAAGTACTTGAACAATATTGCAAACCTGCATCTATTTTTTCTCAAACAGAAACATTCAGGATTTACAGACAACTCTTTTCTTAGGTTGTATCAGAGACAAACTTACAAGGCAATACTTTAAATACAAGGGCTTCTGTATAGTTCAGACACCCCATGAAATTAGAGACCAAAAATTTTCTGTGTGATGAAAAAATGATACTGTGCTATCTCATTAAGCTTCACTTGGTCGAAGTCGACTATACATTGAGGAATAGTTTATATAATATATCATATTTTGAAGAGTTGTTTTCACTTTTTTTTTTTCCACCCAGATTTTATCTTAGTATCTGTATAGCAATATTTGGTGTCAGCTCCATTGTTAAGCAAAGTGTCATTTAAGTTCTTTTTTTTAAATTGGGTTTAACTGAGTAAACTTGGGCATTTGTTCCACAACTTTAAAAAAGAATTTGAAATTTTGGTAGCCCAAATGCTAATTAGAGTGGTGTGTACTTGTTTTCCAAAGTTATCCCTGCAACATGGAATGTGGAATGCTGCATCCATTCGGAGCAGTCAGTTTTCAAGGTTGAGCACAGTTTATTAACATGTATTCTGGGTGATGTTGATATACTTTAACCTTTATTTTATACCCCAACTGTAAGTATTGTCATTGTCTATTTGTCTGTTTCTGTTCCTCTTTTTCTTTCCCATCTTCTTTTGACTATACTGTTGCCAGTACATTGTGCACTCTGTCTCAACTAATGGGACGAAATGGGTAAACTTTCCATCCACTTATCTTCCCTCTTCCTGTTCTTTCTGTCCTGCAGTCTTGGAAATTGTAGCAGAGTTAATATGTCAAGCCAAGCCTTGTAAACAAATTCAGTAGGTAGAGATAAGCTGTGGTTAAAGCCTGCAGTAAAATTTTGTTAGAGAAACCAGTATTTCCTTCTACTTCACTAGCTTTAAAGGCTTCACTGGAATCCCTTTATTGGAGCAGGGATTTAATTTTTTTTTTCTACTGGTCTGTGACTAAACAACATCTGACTTTTGAAGTTGCTCTGAATAACAACACCTGACATTTGAAGTTGCTTTGAATAGAAAGGGAGAACATTCTTTTTTCTCTTTTGTGCACCAGGGATTAAGATGAGCTGAGAGACGTGCCTCTGCTGCACTTCAACACTTAAAATAATAGTGGCACAATCTACTCTTATATTTCCCAAAACTTAGTGCTTTGAGCCTCTTCTAGGATGGGTATTAGGAGATGTAAGAATTTGGCATGTTTACCCTTGGAAAGGAAAGGACCCATCAATATTGAATATGTTCCCTGGCTTCTTTGCATCAATAAATTAAACAGGACTCATGGGACAGCTGTCCCATTGCTAGACACTGTCCGCTGCTGGGCAGGACTGGGATCCTTCAGAGGGAATAGATGCAGGTACTGTATGTGGTGTGGTTCAAACACTGCAGGAGTTACTGTGTCACATGCTGTGACTGTGAGCTTACGCAGACATCACCATCAGTTGCCCTGCAGATGTGAACCATGAGCAGAAGGTGTCGAAATCTCTTGTGGTGTGTTCAGGTAAAATACATTTAGGTATTTTAGAGGTTCCAAAAATGAAGCCTTTGGGCAAGGATAGATATATGAAGCGTCTGAATCCTTCCATTTGTAGTAAAAGTCCAACGTTATTTTACTACTCCCCAGTCTGAGAAGATGGAAGAATGCCTCCAGTACCCTAACTCAAAAGGGCTTCCCAGTCAGTAACTTTAATATGGGATTCTTGGGGCTTTGTTACAGACAGCACAAAATCACCTTCTTCTGTGGTTTCAGTGGTTCTGAGCAGCAACAGCACACAGCTGCTCAGGGCAGCAGCACAGGCGCCAAAACTCACCGTGTGCACACAGATGGGTCTGCATCCTACTCTGAACTTTCAATTTATCTGTGCCAACATAAAGCCTTTGATTTTTGTTTTTTAAAAAAAAAATGTACATGCTGCTAGAGATCTTTTCTTTAAAAAGAAAATAAGAAATCACTAGGATATGAGAAGTCGAATAACTGAGGAAGAGAAGGGCAGAATTAATGTGAATAAGATTTGAGGGATGATTGTATAAACCCAGTCCCTTGCCAGCTCCACCCTCTAAATGGCATTGGCCCTGGCCTGATTCTAGCATCCAGAAAATCCTCCTAAAATAGCTCGGCGCCTTGCAAAGGTTATAATTTCCTCTCCCAATAATTGATGTTGTAGTGACAGCCTCCACCTGGTGCTCATGAGATGTACTTACCACATCTGCTGGGGGAAAGAAAGCAACTTTTTCCCTTTG